CACCTGCTGTTTACAAGGATGGCGGTGGACTGCTCAGTCAGCGCTTGTCTAGCCTGTTTCTGTCTATCTGGGAGAAGAAAACCGTCCCAGACAACGGGTGAATCGATATTAGTGTCCATTTCCAAAAGGGTACTGGCAGTGAGTGTAGTGACCACATAGGTGTTAGTTTTACGCCTGTTGTGACAAGGCTTCTGGCGTCACTTATTCTCCGTCGTCTTATGGTGACACGCGAAGCCTTGACTCGTGAGAATCAAGCGGGATTTCGACCGGGTGGAGACTACGTTGACCACATCTTCGCACTTCATCAAGTGTTAGAGCGACGTCACATGTACAGAGGACCCACAATCCTCGTATTCCTTAACTTCAAAAGTGCGTTTGATTCTGTCGATCGATCACTGCTGTTAACTACGTTTGCTCAGCAGGGTATGCCCCAGAAGTTTGTAAACATAATCCGGTCCCTATATTCACATACTTCTGGGTGGGTGAGTGTATGGTGAGCTCTCTTAAAGTTTCTCTACAAAATGTGGTGTCAGACAAGGATATCCACTCTCTCCATTCTTGTTCAACCTCGTCATTGATAAAATAATGAGCAGAACACTGGACGGTCTTCAAAACCCCGGTGTTCAAATTGTTGGTGAGAGCCTTGTTGATTTGGAGTACGCAGATGACACTACCCTGATCTTTGAAGGCCAAAGCGAAGCACAAGCCCTGTTGAATAAACTGACCACAGTCATACCATCTTTTGGCATGCGCCTCGCACCTTCAAAGTGCAAAGTGATGCTTCAGAACGTGCCATCTGCGAACGTATCCCTTACAATTCAAAGAGGATCACTGGAGATTGTGAAAAACTTAACGTACTTCTGTGGTTGTGTTAGGTCTGACGGAAGTGTGTCTGATGAAGTCAGTGCAAGAATCTCAAGGGCTCGAATCACGTTTGCTAATTTGCGTCACTTGTGGCGTCAAAAAGGCATCTCACTGGATCTTAAGGGTCGTGTGTACCAGGCTACAGTAAGGGTTGTGTTGTTGTATAGGTCCGAGACATTGCCTTTGCGGACAGATAATGTGAGGCGTCTGCAGGTTTTTGACCACCGATGCCTCAGAAGCTTAGCTGGTTTTAGATGGCGTCAGCGTGTTAGTAACGAGGTGATTAGAAATGGTTGTGCTGCAGGTAATTCAATCTGGGAAAACATCCAGCACCACCGACTACGATGGCTCGGCCATGTGCTACGCCTGCCGAAGCGCCGTCTACCGAGATGAGTGTTTTTCTCCATGCCTCCTCCAGGATGGCGCACACCGCGAGATGGACAGCACATGACTTGGCAGAAGGGCGTCAAAGAGATCACGAAGAGTTTGGGTGTTGTTGGTGTTGTGCAACTTCCAGGCTGGGGTCCCCGTGACCCCGTCTGTGCTTGGCTGGAGACGTTGCAAGAAATGGCGGCTAATCGATGTCAGTGGCGTTCGTGCTGTCAGTTTCTTTCCAGATTGTCTGATTGA